TTTGAGGGTAGGATATGGTGATGAGTAAGAGAGTAGAGATTGGAGGTTCTGAGTGAGTGGAAGAATTCTGCAGATGGGCTGCCTATTCATCATTCTGGCAGCAGAAATGTTCCCTTGTCCAGCAGGGAGTCTTGGCCTGAGTTCACCTGTTTTTTTCTGTCTTAACCTATACCTCTCCTTCAAACTGTCAATGCCTTCACCAGTTCTTCTGTTTGGTATGACCTTCATTTCTTCTGACTGCTACAACCTAATTCAGAGCAATGTAATTCCACCAAACTTGGAGGCAGGGGCTCAGCATCATGTCAAACAGTGAGGTTGGGATTTGGAATGGGTTCAGGTCAGACTAAGAAGAGAAAGAAAGGCACAGAGAGAAAATGAAGAACCAAGGGCTTTTTACACTTGCTTGGGTTGAGAAAGTAGAGAGGAAGAATCTTGTAACCAATGCCCCTAAACAATGACAAATATTCATAGCTATTTAATGACCAAAACCACCCACCCCGTCTCTTGTCAATGTGGGCATCATATTCTTAAATTTACTTCCTGCCTTCTGTGGGTAATACCATTTTTAAGGGATCCCAAAAGAGAAATATGGTTTAATTTTCAAGTTCTGGAAGAGGTAGCTTTATCATTTGTTGTCCAGTTCAATCTCTGCATAATGGAAAAATAAAGGACTTGTCTCAAATTCTAACTAGGGTAGTCTGTAAGGCTAAATCATCTCATAGCCACATCAAAATCATTCTGAGCAGTTTATAGTCAAAATCTTATATTTAGGTGGTGTTTATAAGCTTAGTGTTATTATCATAGCCCTGGTGGAATTGTCATTGTGGGGCCACATCCTCTTTTTGAGACTTCAAATGTCACTTTAGGTTTAGTCTTGATTCACTGAAAAAAATATTTTAAATGTTGTGTGCAACAGATCTCAAACAGGTTAAAGAAAAACTCTAAAGACTCAAAATAGAACCAAAGTATTATAAGATTATTGTCAATAATACAGTCCTTCAATGTTTTTTTTCTTCTGTCCCATATCAGGTAGTTCTTCTGACATGAGACAGAGATTGTGGATTTTACTTTAACAAGCATGTTTGAATTTAGAGGAAAGAGCCACACTCCAACTCCAAAGCCGACTTTAGTCTTTAATTGGACTGGGACTACAAAAAGACTATTTGCATTTTATGTATATAGAGAACAGCAGAAACAAACATTTGGAAAAATTTTATGAAATTTTATCCAGTTGGAAATAAGATAAAACACTTTCATTCCAAAACTGAAACAGTGAACTTTTACCAGATTCAAAATATAACAGTTGCAATGATTCTGTATCTAAATTTAGTGTCAGTTAGCATATTAATGTGTATATGTACATTTTGCATTTTCCTGCTAGGGTATAGTCTGAAGCACCCCCAACCAAATATGTTGTTCCTATGCACATCAACCCCTCTACTCAGCACAAGCTTGTTGAGTTATTCTGAGTCCCACTTTGCTGCATACTGTAACATGAGGGGCCGGTGTATTGGGGTTTCTGTCCCGCCCAGTACCCCATAGCCGGCAAATCCCAAAGAGAAATCACACACAGGACTCCATAAGATTATAAACTGATTGGCCCATTAGGTCAGGCTTCTTATTAGTCTTTGTAACTTATCTTAATCCATTATCATTATCTATGTTAGCCATAATGGCTCAGTACCTTTTTCAGCTGGAGTAGCTTACATTTTGCCTCTTTGGTGGTCTGCGCAGGAATGGCAGAGAGAGCTTCCTATCCTTCTTCCGTTCTCCTTGCCCCGCCTCTCCTTCCTGTTTGGTTGACCTGCCTATACTTCCTGCCTGGCCAATCAGCGTTTTATTAAAATACATGATTGACAGAATACAGACAATTCTCCTGCACCATTTCCCTCTTTTTTTTTTTTTAAGCAAAGGAAAATATCCATAGTCCATTTGTTGGGAATGACTGCCTTGGCCCTTTGATAGGACAAAAAATTAGGTAGGCAGAGTAAACAAAACAAAATGCTGGGAAGAAGGGAAGTGAGGCAAAAGCCATGGAGCCAGCCACCAGGTCAGACATGCTAAATCTTTTCCGGTAAGCCACCACCTCGTGATGCTACACAGATTATTAAAAATGGGTTAATATCAAGATATGAGAGTTAGTCAGTAACTAACTCTCTAAAGATAATGGGCCAGCATACTTAAGAGTTGTTTGCTGTTATCCATCATTTTGTAAGATTGAGGTGAAAAGGAGAACCCCATGCGGGAACTTTGCATCCACAAGCTCTGCCTCAATATCTGTGTTGGGGTGAGTGGGGACAGACTGACCTGGGCAGCCAAGGTGTTGGAGCAGCTCACAGGCCAGATACCTGTCTTTTCCAAAGCTAGGTACACCGTCAGGTCCTTCAGCATCAGGAGAAATGAAAAGATTGCTGTTCACTGAACTGTCCTTGGAGCCAAGGCAGAAGAAATTCTGGAGAAAGGCCTGAAGGTGTGGGAATATGAGTTATGGAAAAGTAACTTCTCAGATACTGGGAACTTTGGCTTTGGTATTCAAGAACACATTGACCTGGGCATCAAATATGATCTAAGATTGGGATCTATGGCCTGGACTTGTATGTGGTACTTGGCAGACCAGGTTTCAGCAAAACAGGTTGCATTGGGGCCAAACACAGATTCAGTTTTGCATTACTCGTTTCATATAATTTTGAAGCTAACATGGGTTTTGTTCATACTTTTGATTATATAACAAAAATTCCTGATTAGAGAAACTGTTACTATTTTTGAGTGCAACTAATGTTTAAAAAACAAGTACATACCTTCCATGATTATAAGTAGCATTTACGTTTGCGCCCCCCCGCCCGGTTTATCAATAATGCTGCTGTTCAAAAGCTTCTCTTTTTGGAGGGTGAACATGAGGGAGGAGATTCCATCCTGTAATAATATTAAATGACAGTTCACAATCCTACATATACCACAACCAAACTGAAAGTCACATAACTAGTTCTGTGAACATAATATTTACCATAGACTAGAGAGCAGAAGAAATGTTCTTCTTAGTCTCACGTTGACAGTGCAATGCTTCGATCCTGCCTACAGTTGTCATGAGACCTAAGTCCTCTTCAGAACTCATGGGAAACACTTTGTCCCATGAGTCTCTGCTCCTCTCACAGCATCTATCATAGCATACTGGAGTCATTTCAGTGTTTGTTTGCATTTAAGCTGAAACCCTTCTTAAAGTTATTTTAAACTGAAATAGAATGAAAACATTCCCCCATTTCCTTTCTTCCTCTAGATTCTCCCAACACTCACCACGGTGACTCCCCCTTGGACCCTTTCCTGCTCTTTCAAGCTGTTGTCTTCTTTATCTTTGATCACCTTTGTTGTATACATCTATACGCATGTGTGTGCACATATGTACAGACACAGAGAGAGAACCGACTGTGTCCATTTTTGTTGTGTGTTTATAGCTTTTAGGATGACCACTGTGCATTGGACAACCAATAAGGGGTTCACCTGTGGGAGAAGCAAATTCTCATTCTTCCAGCAATCGGCACTTGCCTATAAATTCATTGTCTAGGGATGGAAGATCATAAAAGCTTTCCCCTTTTACATTAACATGTCCACAAATAGACTGTAATTCTAGTCTTTTTCTGCAGCCGTTTCTAGAACAGACTGTTCCTGGTTATACTGGCTATTACAATCTTTTCCTGCCCTCTTCCTCAATGTTCTCTGAGCCACAGAATGAAAAGCTATGATGCAGATGTATAAGATGAAAGCTTCCTGGAAGCTGATTGCATAGGAATCAACCCCAAACATGGATACCACAAGATTTCAGTATCTTGTTCAATGGATATGTTCAATTTTCTTCTCTGGGTCAGAATTTCTATCTGCATTCCAAAAGATATTTATTTGCCAGATGTACCATTTCCCAACCAATGTTCGATGACTTTTACAAGAAATATGACAAAACTGTGAAATTGTTTGTTCAATATCAAAAACTAAAACATGTTCATTTGGTAAATTCCTGTTTGATCAACTCAAGCCAGCCAAACTCTCAGTGTGGAGACATGAAGTTAAGATGAAGTCTTAACTGCAAAACTACTGGCAACTAATGGCTGTGGGAGAGGGAGATTCGGTTTTATTTGAGGGTGTGGCCCCTAGTAGACTAACTAAACTCTAGTGAATGGTCAAACACGCAAGATCATGTAGACTGTGCAAATTTGACTTACTTGTTGCATTAAAACCTACAGGAGGGCTGGAGAGATGGCACAGTCCTTAAAGGCTAGGCTCACACCAGAAAAAAATAAGAGTAAAAATCTACAACAATGTATCGATGTTTAAATGAGTATCAATAAAATGACTTCTAAACATCCGTCATGGAATATTTGAGGAAATTGTGGCCCTATACTTGGTTAATAGTTGTCAAGTACATTGGAATTTAATTTAGATAATCTTTACCTTTGAGATCTCCTCAATGTTGCCCCAGTGTCCAGGAGGGCAGCTGCTATCTCAGGAACATCATTAAGTACAGCATGGTGGAGAGCAGTCTTCCTATTTTTATCTTTCAAGTTTTGATCAGCTTACTCCTACAGCAAGAAGATGATGATGTCTTTTTCCACTTTGGGTACAGCCTGTGCATATTGTAAAAAGAAAAACAGTGTCGTTTTAAAGAATTCAAAGTAGGCATTTAACAGCTTTCACTATGATACATAATAAAAGTGTCATGTTCTTGTTATCGGTGGCATTAATATCACAGCCAGAGAGCACAAAGAACCCAACTAGTTCAAGGTGTCCATAGAAGCAATGCACACCGCAGGGCTAACCTGTGGGAACTTGAGGCATTTTTATTGAAAGTGTAGGCTACTATGTCAACATGTGCAATCACTCACATGCTTTGCAATCATTCCATGACATGTAATTCCTCTGCCTCCCCACAACAACTGATATTTAACTTTCTTCCAAACATTATGTTCGTTAGCTCTTATTATCCACTATGTTAGTAAAACTCACTATCCAGAACTCTTGTGGCAATGGGAAGAAAACCCATGACTGTCGCAGGTTAGGTGAGTTCTCTGTCACTCATCTAGTTCTATTAGAGCCAAGGCTCTGGCCCAGAGTGGCCTTTCTGAACAGAGAGAGCATGACCTTTGGGTTGAACTCCTACTGACCCCGCATCCTCTCTAAGCAGCATTATCTCCAGCTATCCCTTAGGCTGTCAGTGCAGCGATTCCCTCATCCCTGAAATGGGGAACAAATTAACTCTTCTCCTTGCGTATTAGGATATATCAATGAGAATCTTTACAACCACTCTGGATGGATTTTTACACAACAGCTTAACATGGTAGATATTTAAATTATCAATATTGCAGTGTCATAAAAATTTCAAGTAAACAATAATCGATTATATACTTTAGAAAGATTTCCAAAGTTATTTATATACTTCAGAGAGCCTAAAATGCTGTTTGCTTGTTTTTATTTAAATTGAGACGGGGTCTGCTTTGTTAAGAAAGCTACCGTGATTAATTAATTAATTAATTCTTAATATGGTACAGTGCTGAATTTAAGATTCTCTTTTTCGCACATTTTAGCTCACCTCAAATTGGACTGTTATTGACAATTCGTAATGTACAACAACGACCACTGACACTTAAAACCTATGTTTAGTACTCAAGGTAGGATATCATCACACAAACCATGATGTCTCTCACTAAGTGAGATGGGACATGTATGCATGGCATTCCTAGTCTTTCAATACGGATTTTAATAAATGCTAGTTCTAAATGTGCTCTAGATAACAGCTGTGAAAAATATCATCAACAAAATGTAAATGCATGGCAATCTTTATTTTGCTTTTTACAAAACTTTTAAGCCTAAGGAAACTTGGGTCCCAATAAGTAAGTGTGCCTTATTTTTGACAATAGCTAAATTCATAGGACACATAGAAATCAGATATTTGCTATGCTTAATGTGAGTATCTAGTAGCAGTTTCACAAGGGAGATTTAGGACACTTTGGGCCACCTTGAGATGGGCTTGAATTGGAAAAGCTAGATAAGCTTGATGCTTCATAAGTTATGAAACTTCTAGTAAGCTTTTAGAATATCCCTATTCTTTTTTGGTGGTCCCTGATCATGGGGCAGAGAGTATAATAGAGGTATCTCATTTGTAGCTGAGCATTCCTCTGTCATTTAATTCCTGTGTTTTGAACAATTGTGAGTTTCTCTGTTAACCATGCTACACTGGTCAAAAACCTGATGGGACTGGAGATCTGAACTATTATCTGAGAGTAAACATAACAATTTGGTGGCAGTTTGGGACTCTGTCCATTTATCACAACAGTAGTAGGTTCACCCATAGGGCCAGCGAATTCTACAACTCTTATCCCATGGCCAGATTTACAGTACTTTTTTATTTCAATTAATTTTCAGTATTAAATAGTAAAAAAAATCATACACATGAATATACAGATATTTTGAAAAAAAACCATGGAAGCTCCTTGGGAAACAAAGTGATAGCTAGCATGAGATCCAGCAATCACACTCCTGGGTACAGACCCAAGGGACACAGAACCAGCATCTCAGAAGTTGGTTCATGTGCTCACAACTGTGACATTCACAGTAACCAAGGAATGGGAATCGCCAAGTGTTTGTCTGCTGGTGAATAGGAAAGACAGGGAACAACAACACACTGGGAAATTCCTCAGTCATCTCAACCTCCAGTTACAAAATAAGACACTTTGCTGGCTTTCAGCAAATATGGAACATGGACTCTTCATAAATAGCAGTAATTTATAGCTTAAGTTGTGCTTTCTAGTAATATCCCTCTTATTTTTGTTCATCACAGTGATAACTATGCTGCATCACATGTCAGTTCTAATGCAGATGTGCAGGGTAAAATCTGGGTTCTTTATAGACTGGAAAGGGTAGTTGAAGATCTGAATCCCCACCAAAAAACATAGTTCAACAAGTCTCATACTATTTCTACTGTCAAAGACATAAAGAAACAGGTCATGAGAGAGAAATCGCTAATGAAATATATGCAAATGTCACTATGGGGGTCATTTAACCCAAATCACACTTAGGTGTGAGTTTCAACACACAGCTTGTACAAGAGTGTACCTATTAATGTTACTATGACTGCCTTGAAAACTTACTTCCCTTGAAGTTCACATTCCAACATTTGAATCAGGTTTGGCCAGAATTTCTCCTTTTACCCACAAGAGAGGGTGATACTTTGAGTAGAGGGAACAACATCTCACAATAATGAATGACACAGGTCACTCTGTGCCCAAATATTTCTACATCCATGTTCCATCTCTGATGTCCAGCGTCATCCAATATTCTGTGCAGGAGAGAGCAATGTAGCAAGACTTAGGAACCAGCAATGGCCACTCCTTCTCCTGCTGTATCAGCCTGTCCTTCCATCAGGCACTCTGACTTCCCACTATCTCCAGGTGACACCCAGAACTACTCATAATCATGAGCCATGATGCCCTTTGGGATTTCCAGAATGCAGTGAGGTCAGCCTTCTGTGATGTCACCGGTAAATCACTGCCCTAGAAACAGCAGTGTTCTTTGCCTGAGGACTACACAATGTCCAGCAAGGAGGGTTGGGATTCAAAGACAGCCCATGTGTCTGGGTAAGTTTGGGCTGTTTTGTGGGAGGAACAATACCTGAAATTCAGTCCATGAGTGACTCACTTAGTGTGAGGCACTTTTTCATCAGAACCTTTAATATGGAGAATAAACAGAGTGAGGGACTGGAAATGTTTCTTCCTGAGGACAGTCCATTCTATGCAGGACAAGAAAGAGCAAGGATGGGAAGTCTCATAGCAGTGGTTCTAGCCTCCAAAGACCACAGGGAAAGAAAGCCTCATCTCACCAGAGAAAGGGGCTTTGTAAGGAAGCTGCACAGGAGTCTCTTGACCAGGATTCCAGTTTGTAACCTAGGTAAGGAAGGATGAGCATTGCTGTTTGGATGCCCACATTAGACCTTCACTCAGAGCATGTCTAGGGAAGGGAGGAAAAGCATCCAGGATACTGATGTCTGCTTCACTAAGGACTTCTGTTGTATCAGTGTTTTCATATGTACTCATAGCTGACACAATATTCGAACAAACATTACTGTCACTGTCATAAGAAACATCATGGCAGCACTCTACCCTCCAATTCTCTTCTTCTATACCTGTCTTTTTACCTTTATGTGTGCTCGTGTCTGCAGGTTTATATCATAGGTAAGATAACTTAGAGAGGACACTGATTGCTGTCCCATATCTTTCCTACCAAAGTACACATTGTTATAAGAGTCAGGGTGATTTTATATTTATACTTTATTAATAAGATGACCTCACCACATGGGCAGCCTTCTACTTTACTGGGACAGTGTGCTCAGCACAGTGCGGGAAAGCATGGTTGTTCCTTTTGCTACACTCAGACAGAGAGGAAGAAGCTGGACAGAGGTGTGGTCAGGCCTCTATTACCTCATAAAATATCTCATCGCCAAGGAAATGGTTGTGGTGTTGATGGGGGGACCCTGTGTCTATGGGGGTGGACTGGATTTCAGTAGGAATTTCTGTTATGCTGTGAGGTTTGAGCTATGTGGAGGGAGACACACATGCAGGATATCTGGGAAGACGACCTAATTAAACATCACTGTGTTATAATGGGAAGTAGAAAATGAAAGGGGGTATGAGGAACAATGAATTTTTGAGGTGCTTTTTTTTGATACAGGCTCTCTCTGAGTAGCTTTGGAACCTGTCTTCAAACTAGCTCCTGCAGACCAGACTGGCCTCAAACTCACAGAGATTCACCTGTCTCTGCCTTCCAGGTACTGGGATTAAAGTCATGTGCCACTGCAGCCTGGCCAAGGTGCCTTTTAACAAGACCTGTGCCATAGCAGTAGAAATAATTTATCTATTATGATGTATGCTGAGGAATTTGCCAAACAAGGATTCATGGAGATGACACCCACAACTCACAAGGGAATGAGGTCAAGGGATGACAACACCCTAACTATAACACTGACTGGTACAGGATGAAGCCCGTTGTTGTTCTTCAAGTCCTGGACAACTGTCAGCTATGTCAGTCCACAGTGTCTAAGACATGTGGAAAACACTTCACAGACACCTACTGGAGGGGTTCTGAAAGGACTTTGCTTCTTCCCATCACTAATCTTATCATTTCTAACAAGAGATTGTGCCACTACAACTGAAGTTAGAGACAAAATATAGAACAGAACTAAAACCATCGTTCTAACCTCATACCCTTCCCACTATCCACATTTATATTTAAATGGTATGTTATACTATGTGTGGTCTGTATATATATGTGGGCATGTGCCTTCAGGTATTATAAGCATTCAAGTATTTGTAGGAGCAAAGACCTGAATGATGGTGTGTTAAATGGAACGGCGGGCCGTTTCCCACCACCTGCCCGGCTAGCTTTACCCGAAATAATTACATGGAAACTACATTCTTTTAAACACTGCCTGGCCCATTATCTCCAGCCTCTTATGGGCTAATTCTCACATCTTGACTAATCCATATCTAATAATCTGTATGCCACCATGAGGTCGTGGCTTACTGGGAAAAATTCAGCATGTCTGAACCCTGGTGACTGGTTCCATAGCGTCTTGCTCATTGCATTCCTTGCAGCATTCTGTTCTGTCTACTCAACCCACCTATGCTCTGACCTATCAGGCCAAGCAGTTTCTTTATTAACCAATGAGAGCAACACATAGACAGATGACCCTCCTACATCATTTCATCTTTTTCTGTTTAAACAAAAAGAAAGACTTTCACTTTAACACAGTAAAATTACATATAACAAAACAGTTATCAAGCAAGAATTGCAGTTAAATATTTATATCTACTTGATCTTTTATCATAAATAAGGAATGCGCCTATGGTATATTACAACCAGAAGTATCCCAGGCCTAGATCAAACAGAGCCCTGGAACACCTGGCTCAGATTCTTTCTCTTCCAATAAGCCCTGGGCATAAGAAGACTGCCAAGGGCAAAAGTAAAGAACATCAACATTGTGTTTAGACCATGTACCCTGAGCCACACTGGTCCTAGGTCTGATTTTCAGCTATTTTACAACCAGCTAAGACATCAATGCAGACACATCTCTGCTTGTTCATCGATAATCTTGGCCTTGACTACACTACTCTCTTTCTGAGCATTCATGTAAGCTGACATACTCAAAAAATAGGTGTGTGTGTGTGTACACACACACACACACCTATTTTATTTAATACTGACCACATTCTCAACACATATCAGCAAGTATGAAGCATTGCAGTAATGTGCCAGGGGCTCACTGAAATGTTATGTCAACATAGAGATAACACACACAAAAAAAGAGGTCATACAGTGTCATCTAGCTGTCTGAGACATAATCTTAACTTGAATTCAAGAGCCCTTAAACTGATTTCTTTAGGAATGAACAGTTCTCAAATGTAACTCATGCAAAAGCCTGTTTTTAAAACATTGTTGACTAATGCAAATTTGGTCTTGATCTGAGTAACTGACTCCTGGTCACATTATATCTTTCAAGATTCAGAACTTGATGATGATGTAATTACTAACCTAGGAACATGGGCATGAACAGACCTCAAAGGAAATCAATCTGCTCCTGAACTGCAAGTTCCCTGAGCTATCATTTTCAAGGGTGTGTGGGTCACACCCTTGCTCTATGCATTCCAGGACAAAGTCCCCAAACAGAGGATCCAGGCCTTAAAGAGACCAAACCTCATCTCAATGATCAAAGGAAATGGACACCCCATAATCATGCCCAGGTCTGAAGTCCAGCATTATTTTTATGTCAATTTATTTTGTTGGACACACCATAGCCTCATTTGTGACCCAGGCCATGCCATGTTCACCAAGACAATTGGATTCTTTACCAATGAGTGACATCAGATCATAAGCCATGATCTGGGATGAAGAAAAAATTCATCTGAATGCTCCTTTTGGTTCCGTTCTGGTTTGTGGGTGATATTTGTAATTGTACCAACACAGGCATAATTCTCACAAATGTGTCAAGGCAGCATCATGGCTTTGAAATAATCTGAACCACACGTGAATGTCAAATGACAGGGACACTACTTGGAATAAAGGGTGTGCTGGCTGCACCCAGGACATCTCTGTGTCCAGTTCAAGAGCAACAGTTTGACCTTGGGGTTGACCTAGGACATGTACTACTACAGTAATGTCTACACACTCTAACATGATGAGTTGGTTGTCTGAAAAATGAGAAAAGGGCAAAGGTTATAAACTGACTTCCATGAGGCCCTGCCAGCTCCCTGATTACTAGTAAGTCAGGTCAAGATTAAATTTCAGGGTGTGAGGGTTACACCCTCTCTTTACAAGACCAAGTACTTTGCTGACAGTAAGCAAGCCAGGACCGCAAACCATGGCTTTGTGAATGTGAAATGTGAATGTGAAAAGGACCCACTCTCCTTAATGATAAAAAACATGGTCATAACTTAATATCAAGAATGATTACATGGCACATGGCCCTATAATAACTTTAACTGATTTTTACTCAAGGCTAAACTATATTCCCCAATCTTATTAAATGCAGAAAGAAGGCTTCCTAAGTAGAAGACAGACTCCAAATTGATAACAATATGGGCTGTGACTCACTTTCTACAAGAAATCTGTGTCAAATTTGAATTCTCTCCATCAAATGCAAAAGATATGCTCACCATGGAGGACCCAGGACCATGAATGTATGAAAGACACCAGAGAATCAATCTGGGCACATTTGACAAGATGAGTGTGTGGACCACACCCAGAAGCCATTATGTGCCCAGCTGTCTTCAATAGATTCAGAACAAGTGATCGTGTTTGTGTTGACCAACACCACCACCTCAGAGAATGGCTTACCACATTAGTGTATGGTGTACCTCGGTGTGTGGTATACCTGGAATATGCTTTATTCAAAAAACTGTTTCATTTTACAGAAGACATAAGCTTCTACATCGTCAGTCTTAATTTGTATTATTATCCCCATGGTGGCCATAACTTCAAATAAATATGTAATTATTGAATCTGTCTTGTCAGAATACAGAATTCAAAGCAGTTGCCCATTGAAATTCTGAATATGTATCTATGGTATAGTGTATATATTTAAATTTTCCAGACTCAACAAAATGAAACACATTCATTTGCCAAATTTCATTTCTTTGTATACCCTCTACTATCAAAGTGTTATCATAGTTATTAGATTCACTATTGAGTATATCTCTATCTCAGGTCCATTCCTCTGTGAGTGTTGATCTTGCCTTTAAATGCCTAATTACCCTTTGATGTTGTGAATTAGAATTTACAAAAGCCAAAGATTCAACTATTATTTGTTTAAATTCTCTATTTGTTATCATTATATTTACAGATTAAATCAATATTTGTAAAATAAAATCAGTGAATGTTTCTTTGTGTCCTGTATTATAATTTTAAATGACTCAGTTCTGAAGGTGTAAGTCACAAAACAATCCCACACCTATTTGGAATTATGATTAATAAAAGGGTTATTTACTTAAAGAGAAAAATTTACATATCACCGTTCTAGATAACAGCCCTCTGTGTGACCAGGAAAGGAATCTATTAACCAGAAGCAGAGCCAGAAGCAAGGGGGCGAGAGCAGGGATGCCACTGCTTTTTAAATCAAATGAGACCACACCCAAGTGGGCTGGTATATTAAAGGCTATTGGCTGAAGGAGCAGGAGGAGCTCCCATAGCACAGTTCCCCTTTTAAGAGTTCTCTAACATTTCCTAAGCATTTAAAGCTGATGTATGCCAGAGAATTAATGTGTGGTCATCATGTAGAGTTTGACTTCAAATGTCAGCATAATTGTCCTCTCCTGGAAGTTGTTCTTGGGAAATTTCAATACCTTGACCCCTACATAATGGTTCAATATTCCTAGATTAATCTTTGCATCAGGCTTTTCATTGGAATTGAAGACCAGGTTCCAATACGGTTGTAACCAAGACTTCACAATCTTGTGAGAAAATTCTGTTACCAGTTGCCCATACACCCACCTCACAAAAGGTGAATGCATAATATATGAAATGATTGCTTCCTTAAATCTTAACTCTAACATTTCCATAGGAATTTAGTGAGCCCTTTCATGGACTTGGGAATATTATCTGTAATTTGGCAGTTGGTCCTGCATTGTGAATGCATATATCAAAGTTGTTTTTTGATAACCTTTTGATGCTCCTTTCTAATTTTATAATGAAATAATGTGCTTGATTCTTCTTTAAATTATTCTGTCTGTTCATGAGTATCTATGTTGTGTGTTTTATTAAGGTTTTCTGAGGCTTGTAAGTAATCAGTAAAAATTGCATTATTTTCTTTAGCTAAATTTCTAAGGCCTGTATCTTGGCACTGATATCAACCAATATTTTTAGGGATAAAATGGAAATAATCATACCAATAATGATTATAATTAACATTACATAAATCCAAGCTAAGTTATTTATCTCCTAATTTAATTGTTTCACTTTCTAACCATCTATTGTGACCTAACTCCCTTCATTGTAATATTGTCTCCATTTTTAACATGGGAAAAAATTTTTTGTGTCTCTTTTTAAAACTTATTCCCCCATTGAAGAATTCCAAGTTGTCTCACCAAATCTGCTGCTGATGACAGTTAAATGTTAGGCAGGCTTTCACTGTGTAGCATATTTAGGCATAGAATACAGGCTGTGCACAGCCTGGTCGAGGACAGCTGGTGATTGTGCATGAGAAGCCTGAGGAGAGGGTCAAGAAAAACCCACAAGTCATGGAGAAAAGGAGTCAAAGAAACCAGCCATCTGAAAGGTTGACACGGGGGAACTTATGAAAGCAGCACATGTGACAGGTGGGAAGTAATAGCATAGAACTGCCTGAAGGCAGAGCTGTCTGATGGTGAGGGACATTTTACACTGGTTGTATTGGGAACCCAGGCACTTGTGGCATTTGAGAGTTGTGGAAATTGCTGTAAAGAGGGTGCAACAGGAAAACCCCAGACTTGCTCTGTGGGCTTCAGTAAGAAAAAGAATAGCCAGCATGCAATGGGTGCTGTCCATGCATGCAGATACGGTGGGTGCTGGTAGCTTCAAAATTAGGGTCAATCTTGTGAATTCATGCCCAAAAGTTAGATACCATATGAACTGTGGATATAATTTAGCTTTATCAATAAAAAAATCAGGAGTCAAATATCGGGGTAAGAATCTCAAATATCAGAGAAGCAGGGAGCAGCCTTTAGTTGCTTCCTACCTCTTGTGTTGCTCCATACAAAAAGGCCAAGATAGGCTCACAACCCAGCCTTAGGGCCTGCTGTTTCCTCTCTATCTGTAGTCCTTCGAACCTCTATGATTAATTTTGGTCAGCAAGTGGCTGTCTCTGCCCTGACTCCAATCAATCTTTATGTGACAAAACAAAATCAAAATATCATACAACAATGTTTGTTCTTTGTCTCAGCTATGTTTAAACATTTTTATTGGTGTTGTTGGTGCACAATCATGTTTTGACCTTCTTTTTCTTTTTTTTAATTGAAAGTTTTTTTTGTTTTGTTTTACATATGATGAGATATGCCTGACATTCTCACTCAATCTCTTTCTTTCTGCCTCTGCTACTCTGTCTTTCTCTGTTTCTGTCTGTCTCTCTCTCTCTCTGGTGAGTCATGTTTGGTTCTATACTAAGTCTCTGAGCCATCCATCTCCTAGTTTCTGTCCATCTATGCAGTATCAGGCTTGTACACCCTTTTCTGCTTTGGGTCTCAAGTTATAACAGTCATTAGTTAGCCGCTCTCAGAAGCTCTAAGTCACCATTGCCCCAGAACATCTTGCATGCAGGACAGATTTTAGTCTAAAGGTTTTATGTTTGGCTTATTACCTTGGTCCCACCACTGAAACCATGCCTGGATACTGAAAGGAGCCAAGTAAGGTTCCATATTCTTCATTACTTGAAGTCCTCACTAGGGTAACTCTAGCAGGTTTCAGGAATTTATTTACTACACTAGATATCTACATTGCACCCCAATGCCCACCTAATACAGTTGGTGTTCACTGTACTCTCTACCTCCATCCCCTACTTGATCTTTCTTGTTCTCATCTCCACCTGCCCCCAGTCTGCATGAAAAATGTGATTTATTTTCCCTTCCAAGGAAACTATGTGTTACCTCTACAGCTCTTCTTGTTACTTAACATCTCTGGGTCAGTGAATTGCAGTGTGATTACATTATACTTCAAAGCCAATATCTACTTATAAATGAGTACATACCATACTTGTATTTCTGTGTCTAGCTTGCCTGCCCCAGGCTGACTTTTCTAGTTCTATCCATTTGCTACAAATTTCATGATGTCATTTTTTCTAACAGTTTAATGCTTCATTTTGTAAATTTTCTTTTGTCCAGTATTCAGATGAGTAGCATTGAGTTTGTTTCTAGGGTCTAGCTATAATAAACAAAGTGTCTATGAATACAGTTGAGCAAGTATCCTTACTGTAGGATGCTTCATCTTTTGCGTATATGCCCAAGAATGGTATACCATAACCTTGAGTTATATGAATTCTCCATTTTTGAAACACTGCCATATTGATTTCCAAAGTAACTGCCAGTTTCCACTAGCATCAGAAATGGAAGAGTGTTCCCTTTGCTCACAACCTTACTAGCATGAAGTGTCATGGTGTTATTGATCTCAGCCATTCTTACAGATGTAAGATATAATCTCAAAGTCATTTTGATGTGCATTTCCCCAGTAACTAAGAGCCTTGCACATTCAATAAATCAACTGGTTTGTTTTGATGCCAATATCATGATGTTTTTATTACAGTAGTTCAGTTGTAAAGCTTGAAATCATGGATGGTAATACTTCTGGAAGTTCTTTATTTGTTCAGAATTCTTTTAGCTATCCTAAGTTTTGTTTTTCCATAGGGCATTATGAGCATAGGGCATCTTTCTATCTTCTGGTGTTTCAGTTTTATTCAAAGACTTGAAGTTTTTGTCATGGAAATCTTTCATTTTTTTATTTATATTGTTTCTGGCTATTGTAAAACATGTTGATTCTATGATTTCTTTATTAGATATTTATTTGTATAAAGGTTACTGATTATTTTACTTCTTCCTGTTTTTAGCCAAATTGCTAAAAACATTAGTCAATTGTAGGAGTTCTCTGGTAGAATTTTTGGGGTTGTTTATGTATCACCTACAAATTGTTTGGGGTTGCTTATGTACCACCTGCATTTAATGATACTTTGACTTTTTCCTTTTAAATTAATATCCCCTTGTTTTTTAGTAGTCGTATTCCTTTAAGATTTCAAGAACTATATTGAATAGCTAAAGAGAAAGTGAACACTTACTTCTGTTACATATGTTAGTGCAACTGCTTTGTGTTTCTCCCCATTTAATGTTTTGTTGGTTATATGCTTGTTATAAATTACCTTTATTATGTTTATGGATGTACATTGTGTCCTAATCTCTCCAAGGTTTTTTTTTTATTACAAAGCATTGTTAGCTTTTGAGAAACACGTTCTCTGTATTTTGTGAGGTGATTTTGTGTGCTTTTTCATTCAGATTTTTACATTATGGATTATATTGACTGATTTTTACATATTAAACCATCCTGCCTCTTTGAGATTGAGCCTACTTGTTATATGCTCTTGGATTAAATTTTGAAAATTTATAGAATGTTTCTCCATCAATATTTACGAGGGAAGTTGGTCTGGAACTGTTTTTGATTCAGTTTATGTGTTGTTTGAGTATCAGAGTCGCTGTGGACTCATAAAATGAATTGGTTAATGTTCCTCCCAATTCTGTTTTATAGAATTATTTGAGGCGTATTTGTACTCACTCTTCTTGAAAGTTTTATAAAATTCTGTACTAAAACCATTTAGCCCCTTTGTTTCATTTTTTGTGTGTCTGTCTGTTTGTTTGTTTGTTTTGTTGAGAGACTTTCAATGACTACTTCTACTTTGTTAGGTCTAATTAAGCTGTTTATCTGATCTTTTTTTTTTCAAAGTTTATTAAAATACAAAAATCTCCATTTCTGCCCCTCCTCCCAACACCCTCCCACTTCCTCCACTCCCTTCCCTCCTCCCTCTCCATTCCCAATAACAGTCAGGGTCTCCTGCCCTCTGGGTAGTTCAAGCTCCTCCCCCCTCCCTCCAGGTTCAGGAAGGTGAGTGTCCAGACAGACTGGATCCCAAAAATCCAGTATATGCAGAGGAAACAAGTCCCAGTGTCATTGTCAATGGCTTTTCAGGAAGACTCCGGGCCAGCTACGTTTAGAGAATCCGGCCTCATTCAGGAAATCTGGCTGGATTACATGCTCGCTCAGTCCCAGACCACTGGCTTTGGTGAACTCTCATTAGATCAGTCCCCTTGTATCAGTGGGTGATCGCCCCCTTGCGGTCCTGATTTCCTTTTTCATGTTCTTCCTCCTGCTCCT